TCTTTATATGAATTCCATGGGCTAAGGCATGGCGTAGGAATGAAACTGCCAATGTGTAGGAAGCATCAAAACTGGTAGAGCTTGATTTATAGGCATGGCAGCTCACTCCTTTACAATAAAAATAGTGTGCACTAAATGACTAACAGAGGAAACAACTCAGGGATATGCTTACATTAAGACAGTATAGAGCCTCAGCAGGGCCCCTGTAATCAATTATCCTAAATCAAAGTCCTGGCAGCTCCTGTGAATTACTATTGATTTTGAATACTAGTCGGTGAATTTTCCTGGGTCTAGAGTGGAATGTAAGTGTGAAGTGTGGATAAAATTAGGAGCTGGAACCAATCTCTCTGTAAAGCACAAGGAACAGCCAGATTTGGGGAGAAATGTTATGATGAAGTTCATTCTTTGAAATAACTTAAAAATCGCAAAAACACAAGTCCCACACAGGGCTAAAAATGTAGTATTGCAACAGCATATATTGAAATAAGATGAGAAATTTTATTTTCTTATGAAGCTTCTATGGTAAAGTCTTCCTGGCTTTCTAAATAAAGCCTTTGTCCTACATAGCAGCTGAATATATGGGGTTCAATTAATTCTCTTTCATGTAGCCTAAATCCAACTGTTTTGATACTGTCCTTCTTGCAGCAAACCCACAAATCATAATATAAATTATTCCAAAAATTATTGTAATGTAAGATTCTGTCTTTTTTGTGCTATAGCTTATAAGTTAAAAGTTTATTTTCTACAAAATCACGTTCCAGGTAGTGTTCCCTGATGGTTTCTGGAAGAAGCAGCTGCTATTTCTTTATGCATACTTTTCGCTTCAAAGGGAATTTAATCTATTGTAAGGAGAAATAGATGGCTGTATCCACTATCGTACAAGGAAACACATCCTGGAACCTTTCTTTGCTCAGCATTCTTGTGGTTTTTTCCACGTTCTCATTATACATGTTTTGGCACAAGCACAAAGCAGGCTTGCTCATTTATATTCTAGCTGATCAAGTGAAGAAGTCTGATTAATGTAAATTTTGGATCAAGGTGAGGGTCATCTTTGTAACCTGAAATGAAAGAAACTATTGAATGCCTTCTCCCAGAAGGGGATATTCCAGTTAAATAAGTGGCCCAAAGGCAGTGAGACAAATCTTCCTCCTCTTGCCATTTTCATTTTCATATCAGCTGCATAACAGCAGCACAAAATGCTGGATTAGGACTAACCATACCATATAGCAGAATTCTATGCTCACTTTGCATCCCCCACACCCGTTCTGATGGGAGCCGGGACTGCTGGACCAGGCTGGCCATGGGGAGAGGTTTGGGAGCTGAGGCAGAGAGGATGCCCTTCTGCATCAGACTCTGATGAGTCTGTGGCCTCGCTCTGGAAAGGTTTCTGTTGACTTTTTCATAGTTTTATTCAATTTCACTGAGCCACACAAGAGAGGGAAGACCTGATGTCTAAGAAAATAGCACATGGCTTGTTTAGGAGAGCCAATGACAGAACCAGAGGAAACGGCCACAAACTGAAGCACCAAAAGTTCCACAGGAATTGAAGGAAAGATTTCTTAACAGTGAGGGTGACAGAGCACTGGAACAGGCTGCCCAGAGAGGTTGTGGACTCTCCTCTGGAGATCTTCCAAACCCGCTTGGACGCAGTCCTGTGCCACGTGCTCTAGGTGACCCTGCGTGTGCAGGGGTTTGGACTAGATGATCTCTAGGGATCCCTTCCAACCTTAAGGATTCTATGATTGCATGTTTTTGTGAGCAAGAAATGGTTTTCTGTTGCTTGTTTCATGTTAATGAATTAAAAGCCTGCCAGTGCATCCCAGGTTTCAGGGACCCTGACAGGAAAGACCACAGATCAAGCTGCCTGTTCCTGGGAAGTGTGAGTACGCGGGAGTGACAACAACAGTGAGAGATCTTTTTTCTTTTTCCCAGGGAAAATCCCACCCTGTTCAGGCACAGGGACACCAGCATTTTTAGGACAGCAAAATTATATCCCAGTGTACTGCAAATGGTGAGCTGCTGTTTGGCCTTTCTGTCTCTTAGAAACCTTTGGTCTAAGGATTTGGGTTGGGTTGGATTGGTTGGTTGTTTTCTTTCTTCATGCTGCGTGTGGTACAATAAGAGTCAGATGTGAGTGTGGTAGGTCAGATGGGAACACAGGGAGAAGGACTGTGAGCCGCTGAAGACATCCCAGCATGAGGGACGACTGCAAGGGAAGTAGTTAGCAGTGGCGCTGCCTGGCCCTGCAGATTGGGACCATGAGAAGATGTTTTCCTTTAGCAAAGAGGTTTTCATTTAATCAGTTGTTTTGAACTCTTCAAATTTACCATGTGGGCTGTTTATGAAGCACAGTGTCTGGTCTGGTTGGTCTTATATTTTTCTGTCATGCGATGTGCTTAAAAAGACACAAAAGGGAAGACTGAAAAATAAGAATGCCAAGGGTCTCTTGGGAGATGCTTGCTCTCCCCATGTCATGCTAGCTTAAATACAGTTCCCCTCGTCACATGTCAAGCTGTACTTGATTGTTTTCAAATACATGATGAAAATCATGAAGGAAGAAAGTATTCCGTTATGTGACACGTTCTTCTTTTGATACATTGGTTTCTGTAACTGTCAAAGCAAAGGCTGTTGTTCCATCTTTTATTACAAACGTATTTGAGGGTGAATCTCTTCCTCCACTCTTTATTCTTTTGATTGTTTTTCTTTAATAGAGGTGTTATATTGGTTATTGTATTTCTCTCGATAATGCAACAGTGAGTTTTCTGTGGTACATTTTCTGCGTGATCCTCACACAGAAGGTAACGAGGTTCCTCCTCTCTCCATGGTGATTTAGTTGGCAGTTGGAAATGCAGTCTGTTTCTAGTATTTTATGCTTTTCTATTGGGAGGATGGAATATTTAATTTCATTATTCAGCATCAGATTATTCATTTTATGCAATGCAGGGAATACATCAATATTGTCCTCAGCTTCCAGAAAAATTATACTTACCATGACTGTTTTACACACAGTATTTATATTTTATATCTTTTTCACCACTCAGCAATTATTCATCTCTCTGCTGAAAGGTTGCAACGAGTTACTATAATTTCTGTGAACCCCTGAAAGCAATTCAATCACTAAAAGCAATTGCTTTTACTTAAAGGTATTTCCTGAGACACATTCACAGTACAAATAACTGAATAAAGTTTTTTTTTTTCCTTTTTATTATTTGGGAAATTTAATGGTGTTTTATAAGAGCAGGTAAATCGATGTTGTTGTGTCATAACATTCATTGCACTAATATTAATCATGAGGGATTCTTGGAGATGGATGTTGTACTGTGCAAATGTGATGCTGTGAGTGGGAGGGCATTTGAAATGCAACATTAATTCATTCCCCCTTGTTACTAAATACCACAAGATATTCATTGTTTTGCTGATGTTTTTCTTTTAAAATCACTTGATGTAAAATGAAAAAAAAAAGTCATTCTGATGTTTTGACCTATGCAAACTTATCGAGATACTTATTTCTGAATCTTCAATGTTGATATATTTAATTTCACTGTAGTGCCACTAAGTATATGTTTCTGGGAAAGATCAAGGTTAGGTGCCCTGTTCCCACAAAAATCAGTTGCAGGGTTTACGTTTTCTTCAGGGTGGGGAGCAAGGACAGACTTACTATCATGTCAGATGACTTGCCATTTGTAAAAGAGCCTTTCACATTTATCTTATCCCCTGAGATGTTTAAATTTGGATTGTCAGTTGATTCAAATTTTATGAGGAATCCGGGCACTGAGATGATTTGTGTGTAGGGCTGCAGATCTGGAGCTCAGTGATGGAGGTTTGTTCTCTCATGTATTTCCCTTGTGACCCTATGCAAATCACTTACTGCCTCTTTCAGAGCCTCATTGGTAAAATAGGGTAATGTTACTTTTCTTCTTGTTTGAAGGGTTAGTTTTATGATGGCTTATGATGGCTTTTGGATGGCTTATCTCCAGTGGATTGGTAAGGGCTATAGGAGAACATACAGTCTTATTTAAATGTACTGCTTTACATATATATTCTTCTTTCCCTTTATGCCCCCACAATTATTACTTTCTTACAGCTCTCTTGTGGGGACTCTTCCTTTCATTCTTTTCTTTGTGAGCAATCTTCCATGCGCTGGTCTTCTCCTCTAAATATGCTTGTCAGGTCCTTCTGGGCTTTTATGCTCACCAAGGCAGGTAATATATATGAGTGGATATATATGTGTGCATAATGTGAGCCAGACTTCGTGTGAACAATCTCTGATGATCAAACTGACAGGCCTGTGCTCAGGAAACTAGATCTTTGATATATCTTTGTGCCAGATGTGTCCCGCTAAATGATTCAGGTGTACGGTTCTTAAGCGCAGAAACTCATACTGATTTCAGGAATAAGCATCTTTCTTTCCACAGTATAGATAGGACAAAAGTGTACATTAGCGTATATAGTGTATCAAAACCTCCTATATGCTTACCTCTGTGTCTGTATTTGCCTTTGCAAAAATGAGCATATTTTTTTTTAGGTCTTCAGCTTAAGGTATGTGTATTGTTTAACTTAAGCTTTAACTTATTCATAAAAGGTAGCAAACCCTTGCCAGAGGGAGCAGATCTGAGCTGTGCATTTTTCCCTATCAATCAGTATTATCTAAAATAAAGCAGTAATTTCAGTAGCTGTTATGGGAAAATAATGCTGGTTTTAACTGGGAAATGCAGGAGATTTTGCTATCTGCTCTCTTTTGGTTTTAATGAAAAGTAGAATTTCAAAGCCCCTGAAATATCATTTCTTTGATATCACTTTTGCTCAGTGTGGCATGGTTTGGTTTATGGGGCAGATATGGGATTTTTTAAAAAAGCCCTACCGCCAAACATATGAGCATATCTTTATCTAAAAATCTCATATGCCTGGACGTTTGGATAAGCATAGTTCCTTCAAGAAATGGTGAGAGTCATAGTTTACCTGTGAACAACTGCGTTTTCCTTGACAAAACTTCTATTTAGACATTGTAGATATAAAGCCAGCCAATATGGAGGACCTGACAGAAGTGATCACAGCCTCTGAGTTTCATCCCCATCATTGCAATCTCTTTGTCTACAGCAGCAGCAAAGGATCGTTGAGGCTCTGCGACATGAGGGCATCGGCTCTCTGTGACAAACATTCCAAGCGTAAGTCCCTGCCTGTGGTTTGCTCCCACGGTTGTTAATGACCCATCTGTCATGGGCAGCATGTGTACGTTTGCATGTCACCCAGTGTGTTAGTTTCTTAGTTGTTGGCACAGTTGAAAAGAGGAAAAAAAACGCAGGAAAAAATTCTGCTCCATATGAATATTTCTATTCAGTTGAAAATGATCATTTGTATGACTGGTCCCTCTTAGGATCAGTGAAGAAGCTACATCTACAGCTGTCTAGCAAAGGACAGATGATTCCCAAGCAATATTTTGACTATGGAGAAATAATATGGAGAAATAAGCAGATTAGCATATTGTTTTGATTACAGGACTGCTGTTATGTATACTGGAACAGGTAAATTTTGTCCTTCAACCTGCCCTCAAAAATCTGAACCATTTTCTGGATTCAAAAACGTTTAAGTTCTCCTTAAGTGTTTTTTTTTTTTTTTTGATAATGTGTTCTTTCACTCTAGGAAATAGTTAATGCAGTAGCTAATGTCTGACAACTCAAGAAAAAAAAAAGCTGTTGTGCTGTCTTAGAAGGTGTTGTCTTGTCCTAATATGATCTCAAGTGGCCTATGCGTTCTATTTAGACTTATTACTGTCAATTCATGACAGTACACTTTTGAAGGCTTCATAAGAGAAGGAAGTAAAAACGTGATGCTGTCTTTGTTCTCAAAGGAAGGGATGAAGGGTGTTCATACTGTCTGTCTATCAACTCTTTATAGTACAGATAAGAATATGGTTCTTTCCACCGGTAATCTGAAAAAAAAAAAAAACAGGCACTTTGCTTTGCACAAGCAGCTTGTTTATTCCTGATCTTCTGAGACTGAAAAACATGAGACACAAAGGCATTATGTTGTGTGTCAGTCTCCTATGAGGAGATGACAGTTTAATGAATGAGGTGGCTCTGCTTGAACCAGGTGTCCTAGAACACTTCCATCTCACAGAGTCTAGTCTTCTGTTTCCTTGGCTATGCTGAATCACTGGGAAGATTAGGAGGACTTTTCTTAGCACAGAGGACATGTAAGATGCTTTCACATACATCAATTGCCACCTCAACGTTTTGGGATATGTGGGTCCACGAGTCTTATTACTCCGGAAGAAAAATCAACAACTTTGAAGACTTAAGTGAGCCTGCACATACCTAGCAGAGAGTTTTTTTTTTTTTTTAAATAGTAAAGAGCCTTTGACTAGACCTTTTGGCAGCAAGGAGAAATAGGCATACTCAAGACCTCTTACAAGTGATCTCCAATTATAGAAAATAACCTTTTGGGCTAACCGTTCTCGTTGTTAGCTGTATCTCGTTATACTTGCAGGGAGAGGTCAATACTATGGAGTGAAACGAGGGCTTGACACAATTCGGGCATTGTTGTGAGTTATCCTGTCCCACTTTCGTTGTTTTGCTCCATCATACTTTCACTTCTTCCCCCTAACAAGGCCTCCTTGCCCCTGTAACTCAGTGCCAAATGCCAGTCATAATCTCTTAAAACAACAAAACAGTAACCCTGAATAAAAAAGAAGGCATTTTATGCCAGAAGGGAGAGTAAGATCTAATGGTCATTGATTAAACTCTATTTTCCAGATCTGTGATTTAGAAAATAGCCATTTAATGTAGCATTGCTGCACTGAACACAAGTCAGACTCGGTGAGGAGCTGAGTATGTAGACCATGTGCAACACCAAATGGATAAGGCAATGGTAGACCTTCCAGTGTGTTACAAGGAATACTGCTGCTTGGAGTGGTTCGAATATAACTCTCAGAGGGATGCAACACTAATTATGTAAAGCCTGTAGCAACCTAAATGGAGATGCTTTCAGAAACAAATAATCAGGGAAATCAAATATTTGCAGGATCATCTGTCTAGTACCTTCGCTGTGAAACTGATTTCTCCGAGCGCTTGCTTTGTGCATGATGCACATGTGTGATGAGTACCATGCTCTCCTGGCTCAGCTCGTCTCCATGCCCTTCCCCACAGCTGCCTCTACTTCTTAGCTAAAACACCTATCGCTGGGGTTACTGCGCAGCCTCGCTTTCTGCCACGCAGTCCTACCTGCTTTATTCAGTCTAATATCACTGGGATCTGTGTTTCAGATGCTGCTCTGACACTAACAAACAGAGGAGTTTATAAGCTTTAGGAGTATATAAGGTCCAACAGATAACTTGTGCAAATACCTTAATGCTGAGCATATGTTGTGAACTTTTAGTTTTATTTCTTTTTCAGTCTGTTTTGTTATCCAAATCCTTGCACGGGGTTAAAGTCAGCTGCAGCTTTTGCAGGAAGTGTCCTTCAATTTGCACATGTCTAGAGAGTGCCAAATATAATTACTGTAATACACTGTATAAATAAATTATGTAATATTTGTAGTGTAAGCCACTGGCACTGGATGTTAATAATGTTCGTATCTGTTCAACCTTGCTGCCTATGCTGAGATTTATTAGCCAGCTGCCAATTTGTGGGATGAGTTGTAATGGAGACCTCTGTCCCACAGAAAAATGGGCAGAGGCCACCAAATCCATCCATAAGGCATCAGGTATCATATCAGCTCAGTAGGTGAGTTTTAAATCATCATAAGATACTGATAAGGTGTGATAAAATGCATTGTTTTTCCAGTGGAAACCAGTTCTTTATAACATCTTCTCTGTAATAGATCATCAAAAGCTGGGCAAGCAATCAGAAACCAAACGTGTGTGGCCATTACAAATGGATATACAGGAAAGCCTCATCTGTAACAGTAGAGCAGATACATATATAATACTGTCCCATGTTATTATCAGACTTTGCAAGTAGAGGAAGAGAATCCATGAAAGGATTGTGGAGAAGAGGAGAAAAAGAGATGAATGTCCCTGCTTATTGGGAATATAGCAGGATTGCGATAAGAGAGCTGATGTTCCCAGCAGTCCCCAGGGTTATGGCTAAGGAATTAAAATGGATTGGAATGTCAGACTCAAGCAGGAAGAAACAAGGAGTTGATTTAAATAATATGGAAGCTTTAATTTAAATGTGGCAAAATACCCAAGGTCATCTGGTGCTGTTGCTCAACAACATGCATAGCGGTGCAATGTAGCAAGAAGGCAGAACACAGGAAAACAGTGGCAGTAGGGAAGCAATGGTAGTAATAGCTGAAGCAGTGTCCTTGTTAGAGCAGTTAGCTGAGAGCATCCAAGAAATGAGAGCTCCCTGTCCTCCCAGTCAATCCCCAAACTACTTGAAATTCCCATGAAAAGGAGGCAAATAATGAAGAAGACAAACAAAAAAAATACTGGTGCAGTAAGATCATTCTAACTAAAAGAATACTTACCAAAAGTAGGTATATATAAAACACCAGTGCTCAGTTAACTGATAATTACTAATTTGATTTGATATTGTGTTGCTTTTATTATGCTCCTTATAAATGTGAGCTAAGTTAAAATCTATCTTCCAGTTTATGGACTAGGTAGATACATATGACTGTTTTAAGAAATCATCTGGTAAAGCAGACAGTTAAAGGAAACTGAGCTTGAACATGTGTCGAAATAAAAAGCTTGTTTTCAGTAGTTCACAAGAATTATTAAACTAACAATTATTAAGTGATAATTGGAAGTTGTACATTTCTTCAACATGGAATTTTTAAGTGACTCAAGAGTATAACTCTCATTGATATTCAGTATAGCAGCATTAATATCTTAAAGTCATTGCATATTTCAGAAAATGTTGCCTCAGAAGATGTAATCTACTTAAATGACATGTTGCTTTGCAAATTCTTTTTAGTGTACATTTCTTAATATGCTTAGTAGAATAATAAAAAAAGCTATTTTAATTATCCATTACCCATGTTCAAAGTTTGCTTAAAAAAATAAAGGAAGAAGGAAAAGCTGCAGTTTCCAGCTTATTGCTCCGCCAGGAGCGCCACGGTGGTCTTTAAAATGCAAACCCTTGCACACAGTGCAGGTAGTTCCCATTTTTGATCCTTGACAAGCTTCTAGTGGCTGAGACCATCTTAAAGATTCTTTTTTGTCTCCATGCACTTCCCAATGCGCTAACCGTACTGGCTAGATTAAGATGAGCTGGCAAATCCAAAGCCTGTCATGTGCCTTTCTGGAGAGCATTCGACTAGGGGCGTATGCATAGGTCGATGACAAGAAGGGGCAAAACACCTCGGCTGATGCCTTCCCCAGTGCCATAGGTTGGATAAAGAGCATCTTAAAGGTGTAAACTGGATGTCAGAGCAAAGCAGAGCACATTTTAGGTTTGATTTATAGCAGAAAGGTCTGGTGGCAGCATATTTTTCCTTGAGAGACTCTTTGTTTTTCTTCTTGAAAATCAGACATGAAGGAAATGCCAACCCTTCCATTAGGATGAATGCCATTAATCTAACAGTCTGGCAGCTAGCTGAGTTGGTTATCTACTGTTTTTGAGATCATCTTTGGTTTTAAACTTAAGAATTTTGGACCATGCAAGTGGCCAAAACACAAATGAAAGAAAAGCTGCTAGAATATGTTAAAATTTAAATCTCAAATGTATTATCTTTACTAACCTTTTATGGGAGGTGGCACCTGCAGAGATGAGACAGCTTTCAGACCTCTAACTGAATATGGATTATCCTTCATTTGAAACGGAGAATACCAGATGCACAAAAAGCCTGTGACAGAACATCCCTGCTGGATTTGCTAATTAATATTGACCTTTCCAAATGAATGATGCTAATTGTACAACTAGAAGAGAGACAACTTGTTTTTCTTTTATCTAAGCTTTACATTTAAAACATGCTTTTTATTTTTGCTCCTGGTCTCACGTCAGGTTGTCAGCGACGAGCCAGCCAGCTGTGCTCCTTGAGTGCGCAAGGCCCCTGTTGCAATAATGTCCACTTCAGGCAAAACCTGGGAGCTTTCTGCTGACAGGAGAGGCACCTATCTGAGCTTCCATAATGACTTGATCCCATGCTTTCATAAAGGCTTGTTCTCCTTTGCCTAATGCTGGATTTATTTTCTAAGCAGGCGCTACAAAGGGATAGATTT